TCTATCTATCTATCTATCTATCTATCTATCTATCTATCTATCTATCTGTGTTTATATCTATATCTATATGTTATATCTGTATCTCTCTCTCTTCCTCTGCTGTCCTTCTTTGGACACCTTCTAACTGCCCAGCCATCTCTCAAACACTGCAAATATGGACAAAGAAACAGCCGAGAAATAATGGAAGAGCTACCACCCTTCTGTAAGCCTGTCCCTCCCAGTGTCCTGGAGATGCAGAGTCCCCACTCCTGTGGTCCCCCAACCCCAATGAGGAAAACAAATGTTTTGGTGTAACATTTAAACATTAAATTAACAATTAAACATTAAAAAAAAGTTTGTTGGTGTAAATAGAGGAGAGATGAGTTGACTGTTGACTCTGCCTATGAACTTTATGGCCACTTCTTGGTGCGGGAAAATTGTCTGTATTCTATCAATCATGTATTTTAATAAATGCTGATTGGCCAGTCAGGAAGTATAGGTGGGTAAACCAGACAGGAAGTGGAACAGGAGAATGCTGGGAAGGAGGAAGCCCATTCCTTGCACTCCTGCGCAGACCACCGAAGAGGCAGGATGTAATCTGCCAGGCTGTAAAAGGTATGGAACCATGTGGCTAACATAGATGAGAATAATGGGTTAATATAAGCTACAAAAGATAATAAGAAGACTGAGCTAATGGGCCAATCCGTTTATAACCTAATGTAGACTCTGTGTGATTTTCTTTGGGACTTGCCAGCTGTGGGGTACTGGGTGGGACAGATACCCCAACAAGCAGGCCCCTTCATGTTACAACTTCTGTTATGATGAGATGTCAAAGATGGTGGGGGATGGAATGCCCCCCACCCCACCTAGTTTGACTTTTACAGAGAACAAGCTCCATCCTCTATCTCTAACTGCCTCTAAATATGTTATTATACAGCAGGAGTAGTGGTGGCCAGTCTCTGAGATTCTCATTGACTGACTAGGATCATGTAGTCCCCTCAAGGAAAAGATTCTCCTTGGGTCTAGAGAAACCACATGTTCAGAGAGGAAGGGGACAGAGCGCTGCTACCAAAGGAGACATGACAGCTGTGAGGCAGAGCATCAAACAAACAGGATACAACATTGCAAGATTTGGAGGACCAATTCAATAATCACTTGCATTTTCAATGAGTACCCACTACAGGCCAGGCATGCCTAAGTCAGAACAGAAACAGCTTCCCGATCTTCAAACAGTTAGGTCACTGCCAACTTGACTGAAAAGTTTCATTAATTCAAAAAAAGATAAGATGGCAAAGAAAGAAGCTTCAAAGCCATGAAATGCTTTGTGTTAAGCAACCAAATGACTGCCCCTGCTGATGAAAAGGTATGCTGGCCAGTAACCATGTGGAAACACTTCTAGACGAATGCCCCAGATTCTGGGATTATAAGATTATCCATGTTTAGCCTTTCTTTGTCTACTCTGAGGACTGGGGTGATAGTCTTATATTCTGAAGCCAATTTTCCCAAATACAAGGCACAGAATTGCTACTGTCAGGTCATCTCGGAGTATCTCCCCTCTGTTTTCCATGTGCCCATCTTTAAATGGAGGGTCATTCCTAATCTCTACTCCACAGAAATTAAATCTTAACTGAATAAACTCAGAAAAAATATAATTTACTCCGTACTTTGTAAGTGTTCAATAAATGTTCAGTATTGCTAGTATGATGGCCATCCCAGGAAGTTCATTTGTGAAGACCAGAGAGAATTAAGGTGTTAGACGGAAGATGATATCAGAAGCCAAAAGCTCCAGACAAGCTGGGTCTTTTCTGTTTTTGTCATTGTTTTTTTCTTGAGATTGTAATTTAATCACAGCACTTCCCTTCCCCCTTCTTCCCTCCAAACCTTCCCCCAAAGTCCTCTCCACTCTCCTTCATAATCATGGTCTCTTTTTGCACTAATTGCTGTTGCATTTACATACATATTTGTATATGCATATATAGTCCTAAATACAGCCTGTTCGTCCATATGGTGTTACTTGTATATATGTTTTTCAGGGCCGTAATTTTGACCCTGAACAATGAAGTGCTGTGTTCTTCCCTAGGGAAGGCGCCTTCTCCTGTCCCCAGCTCTAATCAGTTGCATGTAGTGTATAAGACCTCAGGGGCTGTTCCCAGGCAGTTTGGCGTGTTCATTGGTGCAGCCCTTCTCCAGCTGGTATTTGGTGGTCTTGTTAGTGAGGTTTTATGGGTGGAGGTATCAGACCCACTGCCTATACCTGACAGGGTAATGCATTGCTCTGCCGATGGTTCAGAAACATTTTGTTCTGTGAATCAAAGAGTCCTCCCTGTTGTCAGTTTGCAGTGCCTCCTCCTCCTTTGTTTTTGGACACTGTTATGTGTTAGACTTCTTCTAAAAAACCAAAGTCTTTAAAATTTTGAAGATGGCATCTATGATCCAATAAGAGCATGTAAGTATGTATATGTATGTATGTATGTATGTATGTATGTTCTATGAAAATTTAGGATAGTTGAAGAAAATATTGTTTTAATTGGCCTTTCATCAGATTCCCACCTTTCCAGCTTTAGATGCTACCATACAGGGTAGTCATTTTAATGTGTGTATGTATTTATACTCAGACATTTTCTTAAAAGGATTCCAGGTGGTTCCATCATATAATATACTAAATAGCCCAAATTATTTATATCATATGCAGGAGATGAATATGTGAAGGCAAATCATTGACATAGTTTCAGGTTCCTTCAGATCTCTGCTTCACATGGCTTGTTAATAAGGTGAACCTTGAAGCCAAGATTCCAGTTGCTAGTATCTGCCTCTTCCCAAAGGGAACTGGCATGGTTGGTACAGTCAGAATTCCCTCTAAAGTCCTGATTCTCAACCTTCCTAATGCTGTGACCTTTTAATACAGTTCTTCATGTTGTGCTGACCCCCAACCTTAAAATCATTTTTGTTGCTACTTCATAACTATAATTTTTCTACTGTTATGAATTGTAATGCAAATATCTATGTTTTGCAACCATCTGAGGTGACCCCTGTAAAAGGGTTATTTGACCCCCAATGGGCTCGTGTCCCACATATTAAAAACTTCTATTTTGGACATCCAGTTTTTAATCCAAATATCAGTGACATAGGAAGGTGCGCCACTTAGGAAGTTGGCACATGGGGTTTAGTGACTTTTTAGGTTTATCTATGCGAGTAAATTCATTGGTCGCCCCTGTCTTCCCTACCAAATTCATGGGTGAATTTTTACTCTTTATAGGGACATGGATAACAAACAAACAAAAAAAAGTATGTAAGGAAAAGACATTGTCTTTTCCTAGAGCCAGAACTTGTGCCCCCTACACTGGGTGTGAGAACACAAGGGTTGTCGCCCTAGGACACAGCACGGCAAGTGCGACTTCCACTCAGCCAGGGACCACTTCCAGAGAGGTGCGAGAGCTAAAGTCTGAGGCGTGCCATAACACCCTCACCTTGACTCCAGTGGAGCTTGACATCGAGTGTGCAAACGGAGTCCAAGAATCTCTAAAATCCCCATTGAACCGAAAATCTAAAAGAAGTAGTTGCTTCGGAGGTGTGTGCTTAGAACAGGAATCCATGACGGGCAACCCTCACAGTAAGTAGCATGCTGTTTGTGACGTTCAGACAATGCCTGGAAAGAAACACTAACTCTTAACATTTTAGAGAATTTGCAAGGACATACTTATTTGACGTTTTGTTCTGTGATGTTTAAAATAATTTTTAATAAAGGGTAACCTCGTGACCTTAATAGAATGAAACACAAGTCTTTATAATGAGCTTCCTATCAAACTTTAATTGGACAGTCTGAGGGCTGGGGACAATCTCATGCTTGATCACGCTCTTCGCCAGGTACACAAATGAGTGGACATTTCACTGAGGGTCCTGTGGCAATCCATTAATACTGATGCCTATGATGGGCCTCCGTCTCCTTCCTGGTGAGATGTTTTCATCTTGTTACTACCTCGGTATCCGAATGGCTATTGGAGCTGCAGTCACCGGCCAACTTAAGGGAGGGAGGGAGGAAGCATATATTTTTGGCTAACTATTCAAAGGTAGATGGTCCATGGAGGCCAGGGTGGCACAGGTGAGGGCCCTCTCCTCCCCCACCAGAAAGCAAAGAGAAATGAACAAAGCTTCGCAGTTCACTTCATTTTCTGTGGTCTGTGATTCCAGCTGTGGCCTGATACACCTACAATGATGAGGGGTCTCCCCACCTCAAGTAACCTGATGTTGGCAATCCCTCAGGATGCTCCCACAGATGTATTTCCACAGTGACTCTAATTCCAGCCAAGTTGAGAGCAAAGATTAACCATCACCTTTAGGATCGCCTTCCTTTTCCATGGGGTTACAAGATCTCATTTGTTAGGCTAAAATGTGCCGCAGATGGTCATGGGGTGGTAACTGTCTGAAAGCTGCTCTCTGTGAAGATGTGATCAGGTTAGAAGATAATCCTGACCAGAGAAAGCCTCGGCTTCCCTCCATCTAGCAAGCACACCATCTAACCCTGTGTTACTGTTACTGTCTATTGTGTGAGAACCCTTAAATGGGTATATTTATACATTTGCTTGCAACATAGCAGAAACAACAGTTCTGCCTTGTGAGGTCACTGTGACAGTCATTTGGTTCTGTTGGTACTCCTAGAGGAGCAGGACACCAACATTCCTGCCAGGAACAGCTGTATATATGCAGTGTGACATCTGGAAAGACAACTGCAATTGTTTCAAGGGGCTGGCAAGAGTGGAAGAATCTTGAATCAAAGACCAAATGAAAGTGGGAATCCAGAGGAACAATGTGAGTTTCTGCTTCAAGGACATATAGTCTTCCTAATGCGTGTGATGCGGTATGACAAGCAGGCGTGTGTGTGTGTGTGTGTGTGTGTGTGTGTGTGTGTGTGTGTGTGTGTGTGTAGATGTGACCCTAAGTACAGGAGTTGAAGTCTAGGACTTATTATTGTTCTTTAAAAAAGGGTGTGCTCCCTGGCAGGCTCGCAGAGCAGCCGCTAGTCCGACAAGGATGGCTGTGGGTCCCTGTAAGATCTCCAGGGTGGCAGGCTGATCCCGCCACGCGGCAGGATGAGTCAGGCGGATGGGTACAGTAGATAAAAGGCTCACAGGACATAGTAAATAAGCATAAGGGTAAACATTTATTACTTAAAAAGAAACAGAGAGACAGAGATAGACAAACATAAAGACATAAAAACAGAGACAGAGAGAAACACGTGTGCACACGCCGAGAGAGAAAGACCAAAGAGAGAGAGTTAAGATGGCGGCGAGGGACGTCCGAAGTGGCTGGGGAGTGGGCGTGGTTAGTCCTTAAAGGCACCGCAAAGGAATAACACTTATCCTATAAAATAAATGGACGGAGCTGAGGAGAAGCATCCTACCTAAATCTGACACCTTGAAATGCTAATGAGTAAAGACTAACCAGAAAGAAACCTGACTGTAACCCAATGGAAGAAACTTTCCTACCCCTAACCTCAATGCACTCCGTGTTTTATGACTACAAACAATAAACCACCAGTTTTCCCCCGCATTCATAGCACCAGGCTGTTCGACAAACCTCAAATTGGAACTTAAATTCCAGTGAAGCAAGTTCCAATGTTCCATACCTGAGAAGAAAGCCAGTCAACAAGCCAATACAATAAAAACCTCCAGAGGAGGCCACTGCTATCCAGTCTTCAAAAGGCTTTACAGACAAAATCTGAACGCCCTTTAACAAGTAATCACCATATGAATATAGATAAGTACGCGTACCAATGCACACACCAAGGGCACCCAAGGCCACAAAAGTCACGGACAAAATTGAATCCACAGAGACATCTCATAAAATGGACAGACATAGACTACTATGTTTGCTTTATGTGACAACAAAAAGAAAATATTTTAAAAATGAAGAAGGTGAGTTAGTATTTATAAACCATGTGTATTAGAAGCCAGAGTTGAGACTGAAAGTTGAATCCCACTTCTCCAGCATCCCTTCATCCATCCCAGACCCCTTCCCGGTTCTCTCCTTCAGAGTTCCACTCTTTGATAGCGAGAAACTTGATTCTCATAATAATACATATCGTGACTTATTCTTTTTAACCCTGGCGTACACATAAAATGGTTTCAGAATCCCTAAGCAACAGCCCTGTGGAAAATATACTGTCTACAAGGTAAGACGTGGGTAAAAAGCTATAGTCTCCCAGAATATTGTCAAATGACTTGTCCAGTTCTCGGACTGCTGTCTTTAGTCACCTCCTTGAGTATGGCAGTGATACGCATTCTTACTGCTGTGAGGGTCCATTTTATGTTTGTATTCTATTTCAGCTCTCCGTGAGCCCGAAGGTTAGTTTTATCTTTTCATTGCTGATATATATTAACGTTACCACAGATGTCTTTTCTTCAAAATCCCTGAGTGGGTGGGGGCACTGGGGAGGACCCAGGAGGAGTTGACAGAGGGGAAAACCATAATCAGAAAAGTGTCACATGAAAAAAATCTATTTTCAATAAAAGTAATAATAAAAATAAAATCACAAATGAGATAAAGTTGTCTGCAATCATCTTTTTTCCCAAGATTGTATTTCAAGATAACCAGTCAATATGGTAAAGCTATAAAATTTACAAGAATTACAAAAGAAAAACTTGCCTATTATCTAAGAACAGTAACATTTCTACCTAAAGAACATAAAAGGACCTACAGGAATGTTTCTAGAGGCTTAACAGACTTTCTGGCCAAAACCAATACAAAGAATTATATATATAATTACATATATAATATACATATATACACACTCTTTAGTGGTAGATAAAAAACAGCATTCGAAACTATTAAAAACTAGTGATACGGAATTATAACTTAGGAAAGATGTAACGAACTTTATAAACTAGTACAAAATCTAAATGACAGATGATAACAAACAGGGCAGGTCGATTGCAGCTTCAGGACAGTTTATACATTTGGTGCATTCCAACCAAAGCCCCAGCAAATTTCTGTTTTTCATTTTTGTAATTTCTTTTAGGGAAATTGGTAAAATGATTCTTAGACAGAGAACAAATAACAGACTCCTAAGAGAAAGAAAAAATAGGAAATGGGATTTACCCACTAGGTATTAGGGCTTAAATCTAAAAATATGAAAACAGGCGAGTGTTTTCACTGCAGATATTACTGGGTGGAATAAAATTCCCAGCCCAGAACACAACCAGAAACACGTGAGCAAGTGAGTTATGGCAGAGATGGCTTTGCCAGCCAGTGGGAGAAATAATGGCTTCCACAATGTGTGGAGCGGTGTCAAGTGATTATCCATATGGAAACAATGCAAATTGAATCTTATTTCCATCAGACAGAAAGAAGGACTCTAAATAGATTAAATCTTAAACCTGAAAGGCAAAGCCATAAACTGGCAGGAGACAGAAGCGCAATCGTTTATGGCCACTAGGGAGGATGAGTTCTTAGAGCAGAATGTATCAAACTCATAAAAGACTGATGCAGGGCATTAAAATAAAAACTGTTTTTCATAAGTTATCAAGAGAAAATAAACCGAAAACCTGAAGTAGAAAATATATCTGCTACTTGCATAGCCAGTGAAGGGCCACTTGAGGGTTATAAAGGATCTACAATCTAGATCCTCCTGCCTCCACCTCTCAAAGACCTGTGATTACAGGCTTGTGCCAGCATGCCAAACACAAACAGACAGAAAAATCTGCAATCTGAAAATGTCCAAGTGTTGGTCAGGGTATGGTAGAACCAGAATCCTCCCATCCTGTCAATAGAGGACCAGTGGTTACAGTCTATCTGGGAAACAACCTGGCGCTGGCTCTTAAGTTGAGCGCCTGCATGCCCACTAGCCAGCCCAAGATCAATGTCTGCTACGCCTTTGTCTAGGGCTAAGGACAAGGAGAGAAATAGCAGAAGTTAGAAGCAATCGACAACAGTCAGTGATGGAGAATATACCATGATTGTGGTCTCTCCCCGGAACAGTGGAAATGAACAGCGACAGCTACACCAGCAGAATCCTTATTAACCCAGATTTGAACTTCTTTACAGAGAGCAAAAGTATCAAAAGCTCTGCAGCATCCTTTAGGGATGTGATACACACGGAATACCTATGAAGAACAGCAACCATTCATGAGGAGGGAGGGAAGGGGCAAAGGAAATCGAAGGAACTATAAGACTTTCATAGGTGCGTGATGTCCTGCTGCGCTTTAGGACTGAAATACACTAGACTCATTTATTTCTACTTGGTATTTTAGTGAAATGTGAAGGCATCTAAAAAGCCAGTTTCAGAGTACCGCACACAGCTTAAGGAGACCCCGTCAGTTTACACCGTGCACAGGCACCAGCCTGCATCGGTGAGGAGGAGACCCTGTAGGTTTATAGCACCTTGCACAGGTACCAGCCTGCATCGGTGAGGAACAGACCCTGTAGGTTTACACCACTGTGCACAGGTACCAGCCTACATCTGTGAGGAGGAGACCCTGTAGGTTTACATTGTGCGCAGGTACCAGCCTGCTTTGGTGAGGAGGAGATCCCGTCAGTATATACCACAGTGCACAGGTACCAGCCTGCATCTGTGAGGAGGAGGCCCTGTAGGTTTACATTGTGCGCAGGTACCAGCCTGCTTTGGTGAGGAGGAGACCCTGTCAGTATATACCACCGTGCACAGGTACCAGCTTGCATCGGTGAGGATGAGTTTGCACAGCTAAAGGTTTAGAAGGTCACGTAGTCACTGAGAAGGTTTTTAGGGAGAGGGGGTGGCATGAAGACGGGTATCTCTGTTTTGTGTTTCTTTAGCAAACTATAGTCCACACTGGATGATTTACTGGTGTAAAGGAGTCGTTTCTCACGTTTTGGATGTTTGGACAAGCACCAGGGCATGGCATCTGTGGAGAACTCTCAGTCCTCTTGTCCCATGGAAGGAGACAGGCATGGGAGAGTTTCTGAGTCCTCACAAGAAACCTCAGACTCCTTTAGAATTGGCGTTAATTCATTTACGAGACTGGAGGCCTCCCAACCTAACCATTTCTCAGAGGTGCTACTGTTGGACGCTGTTGCACTGGTGAATGTGTTCTTAACACGTTTGGGGATGTCCCATTCAAACCATAGCAGGAGAAGTCAAGAAAAAGTTGGATATGGTTTTATTTTTGAATTTTCTGCCGTGGGGATCTATTTGTATCTGGTCTGTATAGCTCAATTTTTATGAACTTGAAAATATATTTGGAGATAAATTCTTGTTTGGAGAGACTCACTATGCAGTCAACTGGCCTGGAACTCTGTGTAGTTCAGGGATCAGGTTGACCTTGAAGTCACAGAGATCTGTCTGCCTCTCCCGCCTGAGGTCTGAAATTAAAGGTGCTGTGATTGCCCCAATCTATAGAGATTGAAGGAAGTAAACAGGAAGGGAAGGAGAGGGAGTAGGGAAAAGGGAGGGGACAGAGACGAAAGGAAAGAAGGGAGGGGAAGAGGAAAGGGAGGATCAGGGGGGAAGAGGAAGAAAGGAAAGGAGGGAAAGAGGAAGGAAGGGAGGGAGGGGAGGGAGAGGGAAGGAGGAAAGGAAAAAGGGAGGGAGGGAGAGAGAAAGGGAGAGAGGGAGAGGGGGGGGGGGGGAGGGGGGGAGGGAGGGAGGGAGGGAGGGAGAAGCCAAGTCTCTGAGTATCTTCAAGGTGGGTTGGTGGAGGCTGCAAGGGGGAGGGGTGTCTGCTGAGGGGAGGCGACTCTGCCAGACAGTATTTGTGAAATGCAGACTTCCCCTGCCTGAGAACTCTCTCAGGCTTACCTGCCAGGGATG